TGATATTTCTTTTTCATTTCCAAGAACAAAAACACTGAAGCATTTATATACTACAGTACCTTTACAGCTTACATACACTCACACGATGATATAGTTGTATTAAGATCATGCAACTGTGGCTTTTTAAAAACTATTTCAATTTTTGGTACCAGTATTGTCAGTAAAGATTTATCTAACATTACTTCTTTTCCAGTAATAGAGGAAATGTCAGTTAATAAGTGTATATGAAAACTAATATTAAAAGGTAAAGTGCTCAAATATGGTATAGAAAGATTTTTAAAAATTTAATGTATCTCACTGAATCACCCAATCTAACTGAAACTATTTTTTGGTGAAAATTCATAGCCTTTTTGAACCTTGTCCTGGGGCAGCACAGATCTACATTTCTATTTACTTCAGAAATAGAAAATTTTTCCATAAGATTTATGGAAAGCAGACACAAAAGCACCTGTAGCATTACATACAAAGCTAAGCCTAGGAAAAAAGGCAAATTAACCCAACCATGCATGTAAATTACTGCTCCCTTCATCACTTAAGCTCCTAAGTGCACAGCTGGAAAACATGAGTAAAGCTTTCAGAAATCATACATGAAATGATTGCTATCCTCTGAGGTCTGTTCAAAGTAGTTCTGAGTCATATAATTTAAATGTGTAAATTCATTAAAAATATCTACAATGACAGTGAAGGGTTGAATTCACTTTATAACCCAAGGTAAGTTTAAAGGTTTATAACAGAATAAAGAAGATACTGTATTAGGCTGATTCCCTAGAGAATCTAGAGCAGGTTATAACTAGGAATTAGAGTTATTTAAGATAACCTCACACAATAAAACATGAAAACCTTTCGTTACAGGACAGTATCTTAGTAGACATGGCTGATTGTCTACACCACAGTTATTCCCCTTCTTCCCCCTTTCCAGTAGTGCTCTCTCATTTGTCTATCTCCAACAGAGGGATACCAACCACCCACTAGTTGTCTTAGGCCCACATCATTCTATATCCCTGGCCACAATCACGGCTTAAATGGCCCCATCAAGGCAACTTGCAGGACTCTTGCTTGGATGTTGCATGAATTGCTACTGATAGGCAGCCAACCTAGGACCAAAGAGGAACCAGGAAGAGTTAAGCTGAAATTCAAATTACAAAGATAGAAAAGATCGAGAAATTAGGTCCTCTGGATGGTGTCACTGAGCTGCTGGATTAAGCAACTCTAAATTAAAGCTAACCCTATTTCTAGACTTCTAATTTCATATACCAGGGTATACTGAAGTTCAAGTTATGTGCAAAATAAACAGTCCTAACTGATACTGAGTTTGACCTCAAACAGTCTAGTGGGGGTGGGGTGGGATCCACAACTCATATCTTATTGACACAGTAGTTAATGTTGATGAGGGGTCCAGAATATGTCATAGTGGCATAAAAATTACTCCAAGATGAAAGCATCCGAGAAAAGACTTTGTTTTTGAACTCTCTTATCTCCCTAAACGCAGAAACTCCCCCAAAGAACTGTTGTTGTAAATCCCCTCAGGGAGTTTCACAACCAAGGAAGTCAAAATTATCATAAATCACTCCTAAAAGTCATTTGTTTTCCCCTAAGTGCTCTTTTTCCTCCTCTCCTATTCCCCAAGCAACAGTATATAAGCCCCAAATTCTAACAGCCTCTTGAATCACATTTTTCTGTGAACTCAAAAATCTGTCCTCTTGCTAATCTATCAGTTTAATTAGCAGAGCTCCAAACAATGAACAGAAGAGGACAGAAAAAAAGTTTTTCTTCCCCTACAAAGAACTTAATGTTTTACTTTCAGATTAAGAAATCAAGGTTTGGGGCACCTGGGTGGCTCAGTGGGTTAAAGCCTCTGCCTTCGGCTCAGGGTCCTGGGATCGAGCCCCCCGCACTGGGCTCTCTGCTCTGCAGGGAGCCTGCTTCCCTCTCTCTCTCTGCCTACCTGCCTGCCTCTCTGCCTACTTGTGATCTGTCTGTCAAATAAATAAATAAAATCTTAAAAAAAAAAAAGAAAGAAAGAAAGAAAGAAATCAAGGTTTGTTAAAATTTTAAGTGACAGCAATGAAATTAGGACAAATAACCTCTTCTTTTCCAGTCTATATCCATATAATTGCACTGCCTGCCTTCCTGAAATCCACTCTTCCCAGACACAAAATCTTACAACACTCTAATTCTATAGCGTTGAGAATTAACACTACTATTTTACGGTCACAGTATAGTTTAGTTTAACAGATATGTGTCAAGTATTTCAGATCAAAGTAAAAAATCTTAACCCACAACAAGGAAAGTTAGTATAATGGAGCTGGAGGAAGCAGACCAGACTGCCAACATTGTTCATCTGAAGAGGGAAGAATGGTCAAACTTTTGCCTCTATACTTCTTCGTATCATTTTGTTTCACTTGTACCAATAGTAGGTGTTAACCTTTACAAGCAGAAAAGCTTCAAATAAAGAAAACACTTTAAGATTCAATTCTGGCATTTTGGTACATCATCATTTTGGCTTATCTGCTGCCAGTATGTATCCCAAGGGCTGGATGTATGCAGTCAAAATACTGCAGGACGGGAGGGAAGGGAGGCCAGAAGGTGGGGAAGGAGTAAATCAAAATGCATAATATGAAGCGAAAGTATCCAACCTTTTATCATCCTGCTACTTTTTGTAATTCTCATAGTAGCGGCTAATATCTTAGGTATAATGCAAACAATCTGCTTACTGCAGAGGACAGCTTTTCATGTCCCAGAGCAGGAGAGGGAGAAGACAGGTCCTATTAGGAGGGTCTCCGCATCTATTGGGCAGGCTATGAATGTGATGACCCAGATAAAAAGGCAGATGCATGGGGTCTTCAACAGAAGATCTGTACATTTACATAGGGGCTATAAATTTTTTTTTTTTTTTTAAGATTCTATTTATCCATTTGACAGACAAAGATCGCCAAGTAGGCAGAGAGGCAGGCAGAGAGAAAGAGGAGGAAGCAGGCTCCCTGCCGAGCAGAGAGCCCGATGTGGGACTCGATCCCAGGACGGGGCTATAAATTTTAAGAAACTCTTCAACATTCTCAATTTATACACACCAACCTCTGGCCAGATAATGCCCAGTGACTGCCCAAGACCGCAGCACTTGCAGCAGCCTGCAAATTGGTAAAAAGAAATCACAAGCTCATTCTCACTTTGAAAAATGATTGCATTTCTAATTTATTAGGAGTAATTTATTTTATAAATTCTCAAAGTGTGGTTGCCAGACAAGCAGCAGCATCTGGGTACATGTGAGAAATGCAAATTCTCTAGCCTCACCCCAGACTGAACGATTCTCACTCTAGGAATGGAGCTCAGCAATCTGTTTTAGGAAGCCCACCAGGTGGTTCTGATACATGTTTATATTTGAGACCCACAATATTAAAGCATGGCAACTTTTAGAAGAATAAAGTTGGCCACAAAAGGCAAAATCAACTGCAGCATTTCAGGAAAGTTAAGCTGTGGAGACAATGGAACGCTCTGATTCTTGCCTTCCCACCTCCCTATTTTAGACAGTTTTTATTAACCACCAAGAACTATACCTTTACATGCTTTCACTTAAAGAATGTTTACAGAAGCATCTGGGTAGCTCAGTCAGTTAAGCATCTGCCTCCTGGTTTCAGCTCAGGGTCCTCAGTGAGGAGTGTGCTTGTCCCTTCCCCCCAAATAAATAAATAAAAACTTGAAAAAATAAAGACCATTTATAAATATCCAACTCTGCCCCATCACAGGTAACATCACATCCTCAGCTCCTGATGGCAGTGGTGGTTCCAGTATCACATGTCTGCGAGCATCATTTCTGCCCCCCACTTATCTGAAAGTTGTATACCTAAAATCATTCCATTAATAGGAACATGACAGAGGTAACAATAGCTAAAATGCAAGTTTTCCCAAATGAGAGTTGAACAATGCAAGTTTTTTGGCTGCTTGGAGCTATCACTGACAAAACAGTACCAGGAGAGTAAAGGATCCATACTTACATATACACATGCATGGACTTCTAAATCCAAAGAGCACACAATAAATGAGGCTTAACTGTTTTAACCCTGGGGTAACGATCCAGTGAAACCAAAATAAATCGACGTACCATAGGGCAAACTAACTCAAATCCAGTTATTAAGAATGCAAAGAATCTAACAATTAGCAAACCAAACTATTACCTTAATACAAATAATGTGAGAGCCCATATTCTCTGCATGATCATTTCTGACAGAAAATTTAGTGTAGAAAATTTTAAAGATATTATTTTTAAAGTCACAAAATTGAAAAACATTACATTTAATGGTCCCATATTAAATTTGTTCTATAAACAAACCTTTGACAGTAAAATTTACCATTCCATAAACTTCACTTTCAAATTAACTTTCATACAAGGATATTTTTAGCTATTTCAGAAACTATTCCCATTTTGTATTTATATATAAAATTACTGCTTAACATTGTTAAAAACCTGAGGCTATAGATCGCTTCTTACACCCTAAATGCTCTTCTCACCTAACAAGAAATTTGGAACTAAACAGTATTTAGAGAATGGTTAACTTTTTAGTTATATCAGCAACTTTAAGGAAATACACACATATTCTAACCTCTTCCCCCAAAGACTTTCCTACATGAAAAATAAACAAAGGAGAAGTTGCATTCTCATGTGTTCCACATTTACCTTTATCTTCGTCTCTTTTCCAGTGACTACAATTTTCCTTCTCTTTTGAAATTAAAACAGAACTCAGCTTGCATATGTGGAATCTTTTACTTGTGAGATTTCCTTTAACCAGGGCAGTCATTTCCTATTAATCTTTATTCATCCACTAAAACTGTTATTTTTAAAAAAGCAACAAACTCGTCCCATCACTTAATCTTACGACCATGGTCTCAAAGGTGCCTCACAAAAATACCAAAATCAAATACTAAAGAAAAAAAAAAACTGAAAAGTTTTCTGACACTCTTTTCAAAAATACTTTGCTACTTGAATTCAAGAGTAGATTACATACCTGATCCATATCTAAAGTTGTTTCTATCATTTCCTGAAATTTGGAGAAATCAGAACGAAGATCAATAAGAGGAGTGACAAAAATGGCCAACAATAAACTCTGGTGTTTTCCTAAAAGAGAGCAAAAAATAGTAAATAAAATTCATCTCAGATAACAAACAGCATTTGATCCAAAAAAAAGTGCAGCCGGTCTCCAAAGTTACTATTTACTCCTGTATTTTAATTGAAACGCGTTTAATGTTTATTTTATAGGAAGGGAGATCGTCTGGCACGCAATGCTTCCTAATAAAACAATGCCTCCCCTGCCTGTCTGTAATCTCCTTCATAAGGAGCACTAGAGCTGCAGAAACATGAAATTAATTACAACTAAATGAACTGTATTTCTCTGCAGATTTAATAACCCAAAGTCAAAGTCATTAAAATAAAATGCCTCTAACTTACCCTATCCCTAATTTCCACTAATAATACAGTGTTGGAATTAACAGAGGTTAAATCAAGCCAAGTATTTACACTGGCACTTTACTTGAAGTTATTTAAGAGCACATGCTGCGGAATTATATGAAAACGAGTAAGTGAAGCAACAGAGTCTATAGTGTGAAAGGCATGAGGTACAGACCTGGGTGCCAACCCCAACTCTGCTACTACTGGCTCTGTGATCTGGAGCACGTTACTCTGAGCCCCTTTCCCTTGTCAACAGGAGTAAAGACAACAGCGACCCAGAAGAGGAATAAATGAGATAACTCTACATTAACGCTTAATATAATATGCTTGACAATTAACAGGAGCTCAACTATGGTTACCATGTATTGTTACTGGTTACATTGCAAGGATTTTTTTTTTCTGACCTCCAATAAATTCTTTTACAAGAATTCTGCAAGTGATCTCTAGCCTACTGCATTTTGCTCCAAAGCAAGAGTTTCTTATCTTTTCTAGAAGTAGCAATAGCTCTTGATTGAGAAAACGATGAAAAGCTACTATGAAGTCAGCAATATTACTGCAAGAATTCATCTTTTATTAATCACAACAGCATCTACACATATTTAGAAAATAGTACATATGTGTGAAACGTTATTTAGACAGTCTCTAAACAACACTTTGCCCACATAGTGTCTGTTGTGCTTCAACGGCTGGTTCTTTATTCTGAATTAACTAGCTCATACATTATTGGTAAATAGGAGAATGATGGAAGCAAGGTGAGGAGGTGGCTCTGGTTCACAAATAATTTTTTCCTAGCCCACTAATGTTTTTAAGTGATCAAGGGCAAGCTTTCAGAGTAAACTTAGCCATATACGAAGACCTCGGAGTAATTGGCCCAATGGCCAGTGTACTTACCACTATGCTAAGATACCAAGAAAAGCAGAGTATAGATGAAAAGAACAAAACATCTGCTGGTGTTTAAAAGAATTTTTTTTTTTTTAAACTAAATTCTGTACCCTGGTTCAGATGTTTAACTTTCATGAAACTGACCTTTTTTAGAAGCAAACAGCCTAACAAGGCATCTCAAAGGAGGAACAAGAACTCAAGACTTTAAGGCTGCATGCAAAGACTCACCTGATGCTCATGCTAGGTACAAAGCAATGGAAATGTATGCAGGCTACTGTTCTATTAAAATGTGCTAATGCTTTTGCTAGTAATCATTTCAAAATTTTCATGTATTTTGAGGTCTACCTAAACTCTCCTTTTTTTTTCTGTAAGTTCTGTTATGTTTTCCAGCATACAACATTGAAGAAAGTTAAGTTTGCTAAGAATAAACACGTGGTATTATTACAGAAATACCTGTACAACCTTCAAAACCTGTCATCCTCAGAGTTAATAGGCCCCTTCTGAGTTCACCTACTCCTTATCCTGCAAACCCTCACTAAAATCTAGAGTTCCTTCCCCTACCTATCATTTGTACTGAGCCCCAGCTGCCAATATCCAATTGGGTTTTTCCCCCCAAATGGTTATGGTTTTTTAAATTAAAAATAATAGAGATGTAATTCACATACCAAACAACTCTCCATTTTAAAGTGTACAATCCAATGGTTTTTAATTTATTGACAGATTTGTGAAACAACCACCACAATCAATTTTCAAACACTCACTGCTCCTGAAGAGAAAGGGAACCCTGGACCCATCAGCAGTAACTTACCATTACCCTCCAACCTTCTGCCACTCCTCCAAGTCCAGGCAACCTATAACCCACTCTCTGTATTATAGATTTGCCTATTCGCATATTCCACGTAAACGGATCTTTTACTTAGCATAATGTTTTCAAGGTTCATCCTTGTGGCACCATGCATCAGTACTCCATTCCCTTTTATTGATGAATATATTGCATTATACAGATACAGCACATTTTATTTATCCATTCATCAAGTGAGGGACACCAACTGGTTTTTTATAAACTCCATTTTTTCCCTAGTTATCACAGCCTAGAAAGCCCTACACAGTCTTTACTAGTGTCTTCACACAAGGACTACAGACCCTTAAATTCAAAGTACTACATAAACATAGAAAAGAAACAAATTCTACCTTCATTTTCTCTAACCTCTAACCAGAATGTGACATCTCCTTCCATTATTAATGTGTGCAATAAACTACAGTGGTATTCCCAGTACCTACGTCTATGTCATCGAACAAAATCCCAGATATATTTTCATATCATATTACAGTTTTGGAGATGATTTTAAGTATCATTTAAACTCATTATTAGTTTGAAACTTAAGACCTTAGTAGAACTTTACTCAGAATCATGTTATTTAATGCATTAATAAAGAGGATGTATTTATCAAGTTTATTTTATATTTTGGTAAGTGTGTTTCAATATACTGGGCTGCCTCTACGAGTCTGTATTATTTTATGCATTTAAAAACACTATTCTGAAGAGGGGTTCATAGGATTTTTAGGGTCCACAGCACACAGAAAGTTAAAAACCTCAAACAGGCCTTACCTCTCTGGTCTCTATTCCTAACATGGCCCTTATTCTCTATCTCTGTGCTTGATCACTCTAGCCTTCCCTTGCTCCTTCAACAAGTCAAGCCTTAAGCACTTGCACTAGCTGGTTCCACTAGCTTCCCCCCAGATCTTAAACAGCTGGCTCCTTATCATCATTCAAGCTGTGGAACTCAGACAGTGATTCCAGAAAGACCATCCCTGACCAACAGTTCGAGTGTCTCCCTGGCCCCAGCCAAGTCACTCTATCATATCAATATATGTACTTATCACTTACATATACTGTACTTATCACTACTTGAAAGTCTTGTTCACCGATGTTTATTGTCTGTCTCCCCCTATCCTTCCAGTATTGCTGACCCTCCATAAAAACAGGGACATTATCTGTCACATCTACTGTTGTACCTCCTAGAACAATGCCCGGAACAAACGAACTAGCTGTTGAATGAATGACTTATTGAAGGAGGCAATCACGGGACTGGTGAAGCAATCACTGGTCATTAGTTTTGATACACATAACGCTCACGTAGCAAGCATACCAAACATGACACAAGGAAATAACTGTTAGCTGCTTAGGTGCATCAAAATATGAAATGTCCAAGTAATCAAATAATTAAAATTTCTGTAGGAATGCCATTCACTGCCAAGCACTAAAAGATATATAACTTCTCGGGGCGCCTGGGTGGCTCAGTGGGTTAAGCCTCTGCTTTCAGCTCGGGTCATGATCCCAGAGTCCTGGGATCGAGCCCCGCATCGGGCTCTCTGCTCAGCAGGGAGCCTGCTTCCTCCTCTCTCTCTCTGCCTGCCTCTCTGCCTACTTGTGATCTCTCGCTCTGTCAAATAAATAAATCTTTAAAAAAAAAAAAAAGATATATAACTTCTCGAAATTGCTGACAGCATACACAAAAATAAACTTGAAATGGATTAAAGACCTAACTGTGAAACATGAAACCATAAAACTCCTAGAAGAAAACATAGGCAGTAATTTTTGACATTGGCTGTAGCAACTTTTTTCTAGCCATGTCTCCTAAGGCAAGGGAAACAAAAGAGAAAGTCAACTGGGACTATACCAAAATAAAAAGCTTTGAAGTGAAGGAAACCATCAACAAAACAAAATGATGGGTGCCTGGGTGGCTCAGGTTGGTGAAGTGACTGCCTTCGGCTGAGGTCATGATCCTGGAGTCCCAATCAAGTCCCATTATCGGCACCCTGCTCAGCAGGGAGTCTGCTTCTCCCTCTGACCCTCCACCCCCCATATTCTTTCATTCTCCCCCCCACACACAAAAAAGAGGGGGGGCAACCTACTCAAGGATGAAGATATTTGCAAGTAATGTTACCATTAAGAGGTTAATATCTAAAATATATAATAAGAACCTCTACAACTCAAGACCAAAAAAACAAAAACTCCAATTAAAAATGGGTAGAACAGGGACGCCTGGGTGGCTCAGTTGGTTAAGCAGCTGCCTTCGGCTCAGGTCATGATCCCAGCGTCCTGGGATCGAGTCCCGCATCGGGCTCCTTGCTTGGCAGGGAGCCTGCTTCTCCCTCTGCCTCTGCCTGCCATTCTGTCTGCCTGCACTCGCTCTCTCTCCCTCTCTCTCTGACAAATAAATAAAATCTTAAAAAAAAAAAATGGGTAGAGCATTTGTGACGATGTGGATGGAACTAGAGGGTATTAGCTTAGCGAAATAAGTCAATCGGAGAAAGACAACTATCATATGATCTCCCTGAAATGAGGAAGTGGAGATGCAATGTGGGGGGGTTTGGGGGAGATGCAATTGGGGGGAAAAGAATAAATGAAACAAGACGGGATTGGGAAGGAGACAAACCATAAGAGACTCTCAATCTCACAAAACAAACTGAGGGTTGCCGGGAGGAGGGGGGTCGGGAGAGGGTGGTGGGGTTATGGACATTGGGGACGGTATGTGCTATGGTGAGTGCTGTGAAGTATGTAAACCTGGTGATTCACAGACCTGTACCCCTGGGGATAATAATACATTGTATGTTAATTAAAAAAAAAAAGGGCAGAGCGTCAAAAGAAATGAAATCTTGCCATTTGCAACAACGCGGATGCAACTAGAGGGTATTATACTGACCGAAATATGTCATCAGAGAAAGACAATTATCATATGATCTCTCTGATATAAGGAATTTGAGAGGCAGTGCGGGGCGTCGTG